GACTGAATAAAAAGGAAAAAATAAAACTGAGCCAGGCAGCATTATCTCCCTCTCCTTCCTGACTACAGATGCAACACAATCAGCTGCTGACCTGGACCAACAGGTCATTCTTCAGTAATGGTCCTAAGGAAAAAGGACCAGGAGATGAAAAACAAAGAAGATAGGACAGGTGGCTTCAGGAGGTCTTGGACAAGCTGGTGGCTATGTCAAGCAAGTGTATTAAGAAGTACAAGATCCCATTTGTAGCTCTCAAAGGAAGAAAAACAGGACACAGTCAGTAAAAAGCCATCATACAATGGGATGAAGTCAGCAGGAAGGAAATCAAGCAATGTTACACAAGGAGGACCCAAGTTCATTGTATCTCAAGTACATCATAGATGGAGCCCACGACAGCTTTGAAACTGATAAGCCCGGTCTCTTCAGAGGAAAAAGCCAAGTTCCAAGGAACCAAAACCAAGACCCTGACCCCAGGCCCAGAAGTTGACATCAGTGTCTTCTCCCATCACTCTCTATTCAACAAGGCAAGACCTCTCACTGAACACAGAGCTCATCAATTCTGGCTAGTGTGGCTAGCCAGCATGGTTCATGAATTCTAAATGTGTGCCTCCAGAATGCTGGGATTAATGGCAGCCACTGTGCCACCCAGCTTCTTCATGAGTTATAGAGACCCAAACTCCAGTCCTCACACTTTGACAGCAAGCATTTTATCCTCTGATCCACTTTCCAAGTCCCTCTTCTTCTCATCCCATATAACATAAGCTGTATTATTTTTATATCCATATTCTGTGTTATTAAGACTGTGCCATTGTACTCACATTGTAAGATTTTGTGAAAGGAGTACATATACTCAAGGACTTCACTTCCTTTTTTCTCTTAGGAAAACACCAGAACATTTTATGAAGGATAGCTGTATCATGTTTTATGACCTGATATGGATCTCCATTAGAGGGTAGGAAGATAAGCCAAGGTGACAAAAGATAAGATTACAATGGTTCATTTTAGATGATATGCTTAGGTTATCAGACACCCAAACAGACAATAAAACTAGACCTTAAAACTTCTTGGCTTATCTAGTCTAGATATGAGCTTCATCTAACCCACTGGGGCTGGAGGACAATTCTGTACTCTCAGATCTGTAGATGGGACATGCCTATTTTCTCTTACTTGTAGACATCAGAGAACCTTTAGACTTGGGACTTAGACCAATGTCCCTTTTTTCCGAGTTTCTCAAACCTTCACCTTAAACTAAGAGTTGCTGTGGGGTTGTAGCCTTCATGGGTCCTTTGTTGGGTTGAATTGTGGGTCCAACGACTGCCCCCCCAAGGGGCTAGGGCCATGGCTCAGAGGGACAAAGGCAAGGGAATTTGACTGTGATCACTCTACACTGGTGCTGGGCAGACAGGGCTGTGAGAAGCCGCGGCATCACAAGTCTGAGGTCCTGCAGGGAGGGAGAAGCTCTGGCTGCAACCCTTGGGGATGAGAGTCTTGGTCATGGAGACTCGCTTGGCTGGGTCACAGCTGGCTCCGATTGCTTGCTTGCTTGCTTGCTTGCTTGCTTGCTTGCTTGCTTGCTTGCTTGCTTGAGTTGGTGGCCTCCGTGGCTAGAAGCGTAGAGAGGTCGTTGTTGGGAGATTAGACAGCAGCTGGCTCAGTAGTTGAAAACCTTCTCCACAGTTCCCCACAACGGGTCCCAAAGAAGAGAAATGGGCTATGATCTTAAGATATTTATTGTCATGGCGGAAAATGGATGAAGCTATACACCAGTACTCTCAGTATGGGCCTGAGGTTAAATACCTTTTTGTAAGGAAGAGGGTCTGGGAAGGAATGTTTAATTGGCTATACCCTCTGTCCTTCAGGTATCTCATTAATATGGAGATCTATCTTGAGAGTCTCCGGTCATCTCTAGCCAGTGCTTGACCAGAAACCACCATGTCCTTTCATGATCCTACAAGTTGCTGATTGTTTTCAAGCCTTTGCACTCAGACTAAATTGTAACATGGTCTTCCTTCACTCTCTGGCTTGCAGGTGGCAGGTTTTAGCCTTGTTGATCTTCACAAATAAATGAGCCAATGTCCATAATAAACTCCCTCTTGTATCCCTGTATATCTTCTTTGGATTGTTCTCTTTTGACTATTACAGTCTCAATGGAAATCCTAGATATTTTTCTTTAATACTACAGTTATTGTCGATATCTCAATTTGTCACAGTTGTCACTATTTTTTGAAATGGCGGTTGAATATGAGACAACTCACTCTTCCCCAAGCTACTGAACGTACTAATTAAAATGCATACCCCAAACTTGGATGTTTAAAAAAATGTTTAATAACTTTTCCAATAAAGTTGGTTTCCTTTATAATCCTATGCATAAAAACTTGCTTCTGGGAGCAAGCCATGTGGGAGCAAAACACACAGCTCAGAGGTTAAGAGCACTTGCTGTTCTTGCAAAGGATGCAGGTTCAGTTTCCAGCACCTATATCAGGCAGCTCACAACTGCCTATAACTACAATTCCAGGAGATCTGATGCCCTCTTCTAGCCTCCACAGGTACCTGCACACATGTAGTACACACATGCACACAGTTACACACATGCACAATCAAACAGTTAATTTTTTTTTAAAGAAAACTTTCTTTTGAGAATCATCAGATATCTCCAATTATCAAGGGAGTCCATGCCATGTAAGACACAACCCTCAAAATTTAGAATATGTGTTCCATTATGTTGAGCTCTGTGACTAACAGAATTATGAGCTCTCCTAGGCACCTATCTCGTGCATGGGCAACACCAATGGGATGGTAATTTCTGGAACCAAGAGTAGAAATACTGATTACTCAAAAACCACTGGGACATCCCTTCAGCCCTAACTACTTTTACTTAGACCTTTGAAACTTTTAATAAAATACTGATACCTGTTAAAAGCAATAGATACTCTTCTAAAGGACCTGAGTTCAACTCCCAGCACCCACATACCTCTTTCTCAGTCCTTCCTCAGACTGGACCTTCCTAATACTCACAAGACAAATCTAAATAATGACATGGAAAATGGCTCCCCTCTTGTGAGTACATGGCCTTTTAGGGCATGCAAGGTTTTTTAATTAATGGAGGATTTCCCTCACCTATGCTATCATCCTCCACAAGGCACCCCCGATGGAGCCACACTGGTGGTTTCTAGGTGGGATGCTTTATGAAGGCTGACATGATGCTTCCTTCCTGCTGGGATGATTTGCACCACTATCTGGTTATCCAGCTTGGCATGTGCAACCTTTGCTCAACCAGCCCTTTATTATACTTACTGCTTTGCCCAGAGCCCTTTGTTCAGACAGCAGCCTCTCAGCTCCCTGTGACAAGACTCCTATAAACCCTCTGGGGAGCCAAAAGAAATAATGTCACATCCATGAAGTGAGCAAAGGTCAATCTTCCTGTGTGGCCACAGAATGTGCCCCAGGGAGATGGTATCATTATTCCTTAAAGATGGAAGTCATCCAACTTTCTTCTCCAACTGTTTCTGGCTACAAAACACAGCAAGGTGTGAGAAGGAAAAGCCAGAGAAGATTCTCACGCTTTTCTTGAAAAGCCTAATGTTGGAGGTGGCTGGGTTTCTGTAGACACAAGAGTGTCTGTGTGGCCGGGCAGTGGTGGCGCACGCCTTTAATCCCAGCACTTGGGAGGCAGAGGCAGGCGGATTTCTAAGTTCGAGAGTTCGAGGCTAGCCTGGTCTACAGAGTGAGTTCCAGGACAGCCAGGGCTACACAGAGAAACCCTGTCTTGGGGAAAAAAAAAAAAGAGTGTCTGTGTGGACACATGTGCCATTTTCAAACTCTTTAAGAACCAAAAGAAAGGAGGAGGAGGAGGAGGAGGAGGAGGAGGAGGAGGAGGAGGAGGAAGAGGAGGAGGAGGAGGAGGAGAAAAACTTTCAGTCTGTGAATTCCTTCAGTGACCTTGTAGGGCTTTTGTGTGACATGTTGCACCTGGGGCTGTTCGTGCCAGGTGCACTATTTTATTGCTGTCAAGCTGTCCTACAACTTGGTAACAACACAGCATTCCTGTAGCCCAGAATGAAGCCACCACTTAAGCTGAGGGTCTCTGCTTCAAGGTCTCTCAGCAGCAAAGTGTAGGGATTAATTATGGGCTCACCAGAACAGTCTACTGAGGTAACATTGCTTCCAAGCATATCCACATCGTGACTGAGCTCCTTGCTGGCCGTTTCAGAGCCCCCCACCCCCGCCTCAGTTTTGCACTTACTGGGCCTCTCCACTGGGTGTTCACAGTATGCCAGCTGGCTTTCATGGGAGAGAGAGTGGGAAAACAAGAGAGAGAAAACAAAGGAGAAAAACCAATCTTCTTATACCATGACTGTGAAAGTCATAGATAGCCTTTCACTGTTTTGAGTCTGCGAAGTACAATCAAGTCATGAGCCTCGCATGTGACAAAGGAACCAGTTACACAAAAGTATGCGCACAAGGAGACCAGACCTATTAGAAGCAACCCAGAAGCCGCCCACTGAGGCGTGTAGTTGAATGAAACTGCTCACCTTTCACCAGTTTCACACTCACGGGTTCAGCCCACTCCACATAGTAAATGTGTCATGTCACTGCTCCACAAACAGCACGGCACAACTGTTTCCACACTTCTACTTGCTTTGCATTAGTTAGAGAAAGCAATCCCGAGATGCTTATTATACATTCCATGGGAACATTCTACTGTTCTACATGATATTCAAACAGTACAGATTTCAGTATCCACAAAGGGTCCTGATGAAGAATACCAAGGAACAGCTGTATACTGCCAAGCAAGCCTAAAGGTTGTAACCTGGGTCCCCTGGACCCTGGGAGATCTTAGGGATTCTCAGGGCTTGAAACCAAACGCTGGACATCATGGACATTGCTGAGAAGATCTGCAGTCTCCACTGGATATCTAAATGATCTCAAGACTCCAGAAAGATAACGAACTGTTCCCAAAGGTTCTTGATGGTATCTTTGGACCAATAGAGGAAATAGTCAAGTAGGTGACAGGTGGATGAGATCAGGCCTATGCTGACCTGTTCCAAATCTATCCTGCCCGGCAGAGAGTGAAGCAGATGTCTGCGGAGAGGAACTGAGGTGATGTGACAGGTCCAGGGTCCCAGGTGTCCTGAAGGGCTTGGAGGTGGGGCCTGTTCCGTTTTCATCATTGTAAGTAAAGTCTCTATGGAGGCCAGTGTAGAGAGCAGTATGAGTATCAGTGGCCACACTGAAAACATGAATCTTTTTCAGTAAATATTCAAATATTGTTCCAGTACAGTATCCTTACAGGTAAATGCCATTCTCAAATCCTTCTTTTATCTGTAGGAATTTGGTTGGTTGTTGTTTGGGGGGGTTGTTTGTTTGTTTTGTTTCTGTCATTTGGTTTGAAAGAGCTTGTGACAAACTTCAGTGGCTACTATCAGATAGCAAATAGTAAGCAGACTCTTCAGAATCCATTCTGTATCCTGAGGAAAAAGATGATAGGTTAATTGCTTCTCAACAGTGTGACTAAAATCAACTGTGGAAAAGAGAGGGTGGCTAACCCCTTCAGTGAAACTCCTTTTACAAGAGAAGGCCCCTCACCCTGCCATTGAAGCAAAGGTTTCAATGCCACGCCCCAGCAAGGCATGTCTGTTTGTTAAATGCCCTGCACTTCCTACTCTTCAAAGAAATTATCCTCTGGGTTATTCAGTTTCAAGAAAATGAGACTAATGAGAGGACTAAATGCAGTGGGCTGCAGGGATTACTAAGTCAGACTCTTGAGATGAAACACTTAGCCAAGCTTGTGGCCCAGAGTAAGTCCTAGGGACAACCAGATGAGCGATCCTTCTCTTCAGAATCCCTAAAGACTAGGAGCTTGAGCAAGATCTCAGCTAGTGACAAGCAAAAAATACACAGACCTGCATGTGGTTACATATCTCTAATCCCAGCACTCAAGGAAACTGAGGCAGAAGAATTCCAAGTTCCAAGTTAGCCTGGACTCCTTAGCCAGACACTGTCTCAAAAAGAAAAACAACCATGCCTAGAGAGGGAGCCCAGGCTTGATATTGCCTAAAGGGCCAGGCACCAAAGACTGGATAATTGCCTAAGCACCTAGGAGAAAACCAAACATGACTGGTAAAAAAAAAAAAAAAGAAAATCAATGAAATGATTCCTAATTCTGCTATATTCGTTGACAAGAGTCTAGCACAGTCTTCATGAGAGAGGCTTTATCCAGAATTGATAGGAGCAGATATCAAGACCCAGAGCAAAACATTAGGCTGAGCTAGGTGAGTCCTTCAGAAGTTGGGGGAGAAGGACTGGAGGAGCCAGAGAAGTCAACAACACCACAGGAACACAGCTCACAGACTCAACTAACCAGGGTTCATAGGGGCTCACAGAGACTGAACCAACAATCAGGGAGTCTGCATGGGTCTGACCTAGATCCTCTGCATATGTGTTATGGTTGTATAGCTCAATCTTGTCAGACTCCTGAGAGAGGGACCAAGACCTGTCTCTGACTCTTTTGTTTGCTTTTCAGACCCTTTTCCTCCTACTGGGTTGCCTCAACCAGCCTTGATACAAAGTATATGCTTAGTCTAGGTGACATCTAGCAAACAACCTGGGATTTATAGGTTTCTGGAGTATGCCTCCAGTGAAGTCATCAAGCAACCTTTGTGATCCCAGAATGGAGCACAGACATGTCTCATGATGGAAATATTGTATCTTGTTAAGCCCTGTGTCATTGATATCCCTTGAAGACCTGCTCTCTTCTGAAGGGAAATGGAGGAGGAGGAGATCTGGGGACATGGAAGGTGGTGGGGAGGGACAGGGAAAAGACGAAGAAGGGGAAAATGGTCAGGATGTAATATATATAAGAAAAAATGAATCAATTAATTAATTTTTAAAAACATGTTTTTCTTTTTATTCCAGAACTTTTTTATTTAACTATTATGATATATAAGAATATTGGTTAAAGCCCTGGAGTCCAGAGGCTGACAGATAAGTCTCTCCTCTGACTACATATAGTTATAGCCTTTAGCAAGTCACTTCTCTCTTTCCTGTCAAGGCTCCAAATAGCAGTTCAGACTTGTACACAGATGCCTAGAGGCAACACTTGTTGACTTACCCTCCTGCTCCAACTCTCTCCATAGAAACCAGTGGCAGACACTTACAGTCAATTACTAGAGAGGGCAGACTGAGCCAACAATTCATATTCTCTCTCTCTCTCTCTCTCTCTCTCTCTCTCTCTCTCTCTCTCTCTGTTTATGGAATAAGAGAGAGAGAATATATATAAAATATATGTGGAAATATATATAAAATATATATGGGTATACATATAAAATGTATATAGAATATATGTATGTATATAGAGTAGAATGAATATATATATACACATATATACATATACATACATATATATATATATATATATATATATATATATATATATATATATATATCACCTTGGAAATGGCTGGAGATGTAGCTCAGTTGTAGAGTGATTGCATACTATGTTCAAGGCCCCATTGTTTATTACTAGCACAGAGAGAGAAAGTCCAATCTGATTTCCTTTATAAACTTGATAATGACAAATGTTCTGAAAAACAAAACTAGGGTAGAGACTTTACACATAGAGTCCTTTCAACAAAATATACCAGGGTGTCTAGGTGACATCTAGCAAACAACCTGGGATTTATAGGTTTCTGGAGTATGCCTCCAGTAAGTCATCAAGCAACCTTTGTGATTCCCAGAATGGAGCACAGACATGTCTCATGATGGAAATAGCTTTTTGTGGCAGTCATTCCCACTGGCATCGCACAAAGATGTCACTTGTAAGTAGTGACAGATGCATCCTATAGTGGCAAGAAAGAACCTAAGAAATGGCATGGTAGTCCCCGGTTCTTCCTGTTCACTTTTGCTTAACCACGATGATAGGCTTAAAATCATGAAAGGTAAGATCCCTGGATGACACCATGCTGGAGTTATAGACTATGAGATACACAGACTCTGAAACAGGGTCACAGTGACTTCAAGCCAAAGCCTACACTGTAGCTGTGAATTGTTAATCCATTTTGAGCTCCCAGTGGGTGGTCACACTTCTAGCCACCCACAAGAGGTCTTTGGATTCTCAAATGAAAGGACACACACACACACACACACACATTTTAATATGCCTAACTAGCTCAGTGGCCGGGCATTTCCAAACCTCCCCATGACTAGCATATAGTCCCCTCCAGTATTCCTGAGTTAACACTTTCTAAGTCTGTATTTTATCTTTGCTGCCCTGTTTTCTTCTGGGCAGCCTTCCCATGGGGGTGCTTTTCCTTTGTACCTACATTGCTGGATGATTTCTCTCCTGCAGCTCATAAGTCTGATCTCTCTGCTTCTGCATCATAGCAATTCTGTTTCTTCTCTCCTCTGCATTTCTTGCTTGGGAATCCTAAAAGTCCCACCTCTTTCACCCTGCCCAGACATTGGCTGTTGCTCTTTATTGATTAATCAAAAACCAACTGGGGACAGGGGCCCTCGGCATATGAACATTCAGATTCCCAGGATGTGGGGAGCCAAATTAAAACGAAGCATTAGAGCCAATCCCCAACACTACACTTGTTTTCTACTCCCCCAGGTCCTCACCCTGGACCTGACTCAGGGCTGATACTATGAAAATACTCCTAGAATCCATGTTGCCTGTCATATCCTGGGAGTTCACTTCCTGGCCCCTGAGTCTTTCAGAAGCATCAGGTAGGAAGATAGGGAGACACTGAGGAATAGAGTCCTATCAGATGACATGTGTCTTTCACAGACCCATTTTAAAGCTCCTAAGCCCATACTCAGATGCTCATGGGTGTGGGGAACCCCATGATTGATATGGAATGCTCCCTGGAAGCAGTTGCATCCCCTCAATGGATGCATTCTTTGCCACTGTCGTCAATAATTCATTAATCTAAAAGACTGATTTTAGTGTCTGAAGCCATTACAACCTACCAAGAATAACTTGAACTTGCATAGGAACAAGCCGTTTTGAAAGCCTACAAGCTCCAAGGAAGCATACTTCACAATGATCCCTCCCCTCCCTGTTGAGGGACAGGGGAGCCCCACATGGCATTCCTTTACCCAGTTCAACTTCATAACTAATTTCAGAGGTTTCTATAGAGTTACAAGTGATGAAGAAAATGAGACAGGCCTTGGTGGCCTGTTTTTTAAGATCTGCGTATCGTTTGAAAGTAAATGTAGCAAAGAAAGGGTTCAGAAAAAAATAAAATTCAACATTTATTATGAAATAATTTTCCATAGCACTATAATAATCCATTAACCCCAAAATAAAGCTGATATAATCATTATTATCATTTTACAGCAATATTTTGTCTGGCATTTTCCAAGGCAAACAAAAGCATCAAGTGCAACTGTGTCTCCTTAGATGTTCTATGCTATTTTGCATGCATGCACACATAGGAGGGTGTGTGTGTGTGTGTGTGTGTGTGTATGTGTGTGTGTGTGTGTGTGTATGTGTGTGTGTGTGTGTGTGTGTCTGTGTCTGTGTCTGTGTCTGTGTCTGTGTCTGTGTCTGTGTCTGTGTGTACGAAATAAAGCCCGTTACCCAAAGAAGAAAATGCCCGGTGCTAAGGTTCCACGTTAGTCAGGGCCCATGTGTCATCTTACACATATTTTAATAGGAGAAAGACCTCAGAATTGAATTACTGCCTGATGATTTGGTTCAGAAGAGGGCATTGAAAACAGACCTTGTCAGATCATATTGTGTATGTTTTACAAGGCGTGTTATAGTGCACGTTTAAATCTCATGGATTTTATGCTGCGGGATGAGAGGCCTGGGGCTGTGAGTTCTGAGGTTAGAAAACAGAAATGGTGAAATAAAATGCTGTCTCTACAGCCATAGAACCGAGTCATAACCCTCTCAGTCTACAAAGTGATAATAGGAAAAAAGAAAGTGCAAGAGAGGAAGAATGTGTATTCATCTTGGGCTAGGGAACTGGTGCCATGCATAAGATACTTATTGTGCAAATATGGGGACCTGAGTATGAACCCCAAAAACCTACATAAATCCTGCACAGTGATATGCAATCCCAACCATCTTACAGTGACATAGGAGAATGAGATAAGAAGATTCCCAGAAGCTGGCAGGCCAGCTAAGGTGGCACATGCAGGAGCAAACAACAAAAGACCAGACCTTGTTTCAAGCAAGGTAGAAGGTTAAAACCAACACCAGAAGTTGTCCTCTGACATCCACACAGGAGGCATGTCACATGCATCCTCTTGCATTTGCAGATGTCAATTATTACCACACACCTCCCACCTATGGTCATCTAAAATGCCACTAGACATTGTCAAGTAATCCTCAGCCTCAAGAAAAAGTGTGCAACCTCACCCTCATCTACATTGAATGTCATTTGGCTATAAAGGAGGGAAAATATATCATTTTCAGAAAAATAAAATAAAAGTGGACATCATCTTGGTAATCAAACTAAGCCAAGCTCTGAGAGATGAATATCACACACAAGTTTTATATAGAGATTATAGATTTTTTTTTAAGTTAGGCATGGTGGTGCACATCTGCAATACTAGTACTTGGGAGATGGAAACCAAATATTTAGGGCCTCAAGGTCATACAGTAAGTTCAAGGCTAATCTGGGCTACATTAGACTATGTCTCAAAAAAGAAAAAGAACATGAAGGTAAAGGGTGGCAACAGGAGAGGGATGCAAAACAGGTAAAAGATGGATGGATGTGATCAACGTGGAATACAACATGTGTGTTAATTACTTTTCTCATCTCTGTAATAACACCTGACAGAAGCAACTTTGAGAACAAAGGGCTTACTTGGACGCAGGATTTGTAGGGATAGGCATGGGGGCAGAAGAGTTCATCACAGGAGCACGCAGCGGTTGATTGTCTCATGGCTTTGACTAGAAAGTAGAAAGACTGGGATCAGAAGGGGTCTGAACTAAAACATTTAAAGCTAACACCTCAGGGACCTACTTCCCGAATCCTAAAAGTTCTACAGTCTCCCAAACAGTACCATCACTTAGGGAACAACTACTCAAAGTTTTTACATCCAATGCGCATGTATGAAAACATCATGCTGAAAGTTGCCTCTTTGTGTAGAATAACAAACATGAGTAATTTAAAATTTTGAAATCTATTTAAAACTGGAGAAGGGAAGAACCACTGATATAGGCCTTCCAGACATGACTGATTTTTTTTGTTTTTTTTTGTTTGTTTGTTTTTTCCTTTTTATTTTTTCTGCTTATAAGCCCCAAAAAGCTTCTGGCATTTTGTTGCAGCAGCTGAAACAAACTAAGACAACATTCATTTGCTCTTTTATTCTTTCAGTCGTTTGAAGAATAATCATTGTGACATGGATACTTGCTTGGCAGGTACTAGGTTTGAGGGGAACAGGCAGGCATTTGGGAACCCCAAAGGCTTCTTAAGCCAATGAGAACTCAGTGCTCTTCTGAAAGAAGCTGTAGGATCCTAGGGCAAGGTAGAGACAGAACAGGACAATTCCCTACTAGGGAATAAGGTCAACCAACATGGGTAGGGAAACTGAAACTGGAAGCCAGAGCAATGAGTATAAAAAAGTACCCAAAAGCCAGAATTGCCAGTGTGCTTGCTGCAGCAAGACACAAGGCTGGACTGGAGAAAAAGTCATCACAGTGAATTCTTCCCTGGATGAGCTACTGAGGAAGTCATGCTGCTTCTCAACACCACAGCTTGTGTTATTCAAAGACTTCACAGCACTCAAAACAACAAACAAAAGATTTGTTTATAAATCAAATGCTCATATTAAAAAAAAAACCCAGAGGGCAGCTGTCAATATTTTTCTGCTTGTGCTTAATAATCTAATTTTCTATCATAAATGTCATTTGAAGATAATTATTGGTAAATTAATATAATATCCAAATGAAGCACTTCTCATGGCTGTTTGCTGATTTGGGGCAGGGAGAGGGGCGTTTATGCATGGTAAACACAAGGCTTGAGTGGAGCCTGAGCCCTGAGATAGAATTCATTCCTCACTGAGAACTCCAAAGGTTTGATCCCCATAGTGTACTAACAGTAACACTAAAAAGCATATAGGGAATTGGAAAACGTGAGAAATATTTGCCTGGAATAAAACGAGGCAGATTCTCCTTCTTTCCTCTCATGTGCTGTGAACTCTGTGTTGACCTTAGCCAAGGCATTTGAATCTACGTGATATGGGACAGGGACAGGAAGGGAAGTGGAAGACGCCTGATCACACAGCCACAAGGACATGATGTGTCACACTCAAGAGAACACTGTGGGTTTTCACCTATTATCAAGCAACCCACTAACTCTGAGAACTCTTGTGTTCTCTGCCAATATATTCCCTTCCACTTAGGAAGGCCAGCCTTCTCATGATGCCAGCAACTAAGAATTTTGACCAAGACATAAATAACTGGAGGAAAGAGAGAAGCTGTATATTAATCAAGTTTCCTACTCAGGTTAGGCACTCTGCAAAAGGCAAGAGCAGCTTGCTTTTAGAAATATGACGGTGGCAGCCACAAGCCATTTAGCTTTGATAAATGCAGAGACTGTGGCTTGGAGGGCACCTGTCTCCAACTAAAATGGGAACAGAAAGAATTATGACCAGAGAGAGATGGGAGAGGGCAGTAGATCCATTTACCAGAACTCGTGAAATGAAGTCATTAGCCAACAAACAAACAAAGGGCAGAAACATTGTTCAGTCTGCTATCATAACTTGAGGCCCCTACTTAAAAGAATTATTAGAATGAATGACAAATATCCCAGGCTGGCTGTGAATCAAGGCAGCTTTACTTCCTGAATTGTCTGCCTGGATCCTTATGCTCTCAGGGAGCCCTCCTTAGCAAGCTGCCCACTGTAGAGACTCTGGATCAACTGGCAGTACATGTTTAGGAACTCAATAAACATTTATTGAAAGAATGGACAAATTGTTGCCTCATTTCTGAACTCCTTATTGTGGAAAAGAAGAGTAATATAGTCTCTAGAAAATGGCCATTCTTTTAGTCACTTGAATATATAACCTCATTTTAGGGTCTTCATTCAAGCATTTCATATGCTTATACATTTGTTCATAGATGCCAACCTCCAAGATGGCTGCCAATGATCCTTGGATCTTAAAATTTACACTACCATATAACCCCTTCTTATCCTAAAGAGTAATGAATACGTCTGTCCAATGTAACCAATAATGATGCAGAAATGATAAAGGGTCACTTCTAAGCCTACATCACAAAAGATACTATAGCCACCTTACTCTCCTGGAGAGCTGGAGAAGAGCTAAACTTTCACACAGGAAGGTTCTAGAAGCTTTCCACAAGATTCATATAGTGAAGAACTAAAGTTTGTTTGGTTTGCCAGGAGCCAGCATGAACATATCATACACATGGCCAAACCATTTTGGATTCTTCTAGTCCCAAGCAAACCTTCAGAAGTCTGCAGCCCCATGAGCAATGGCAGCATAGAACCAATCACCCAAAAGAAACTTCACCCTAAGCTTGGAGGAGAGAGGAGAGAGCTCTCTGCCAGATCTGTGCTTAAAACAGAAATTAAAAGCCCAAGAATCTGACCTCTCATACAATGAAATTTGGCCCACTTCCTTTCTAACCAGTCATCTGTAAGCCATTATACCAGGCACACTATAAAGGCTGGGCCAACCCCAGATCTAGAAACAGATATATGGTTCTAAAGTGAAATGGATCTAATGGCTCCTCACTTTCCTCTTCTAAGTAATCATTCTAAGGAATGATTATCTGTTTTTTCTCAAGTACATATACTAAGACCTCTTGGTATACACAGAGGAGACAAAAAATTCTATACAGAGAGAGAGACAGACAGACAGACAGACAGACAGACACAGACACAGAGAGACAGAGAGACAGAGAGACAGATAAACAAATATCATATTCTTTAGGTAGATTTTTCTGGTTTGGTTCAGTTTGGTTTGGTTTTTGGTTGTTCAAGACAGAATTTCTTCATGTAGCCCTAGCTGTCCTGGACTTGCTTTGTAGACCAGGCTGGCCTTGAACTCACAGAAATCTGCCTGCTTCTGCTTCCCAAGTGCTAAGACTAAAGGTGTCACCAGTCCTAGGTACATACTCATATGTATTTATGTCTCATAAACAAAAAGTTGGCAAGCAAGATTTTACTTCTGCAATATCCCACAGTGCTAAGACTCCTTTGTCACTCCTAGCTCTAGCTAGGTGAAGTTCATTTTGGAAGATTTCTACATGGGTATAATCAAGACTGAGTCTTGTTCTCCTTGATGAAATGACTAGATAGTGGGGAAAAAAAACTTTAGTTAAAATGTGTAAACAAAAGCAAGGCATGAGAGTGAACCTTCAGGGTCCCCTTAATCAGTAATTTCCTGAATTTTACACACCAGAGTGAGATCTCTTCACATACTAAATGGGCTGTCCTGTGCCACCATTAGCAACTTCTAGCACTAGATCATGAAAGACACTCTATCTTCCAAAGTGACTCTTGGATCACTCTCTGCTGACAGCAGCCAGTGATCATGCCATGGGGACATCTGAGCAGCCCTCTAGAGAGACTGCAACGATGAAGAACAGAGGGTTCCACTAATTGCAAGCCCAAATTGGACAGCCATGTGAGTAAGTTCTCTTGGATAGAAACATCCAACCCCAGTGGAAGTTTTAGATGATTATAGCCCAACCAATATTTTAATTACAACTTCATTCCTGATTGTATGGCTCCAAGCCTGATTCATAGACCTAAACTTCCCCTCGATTTCTGACCTACAAGCATTGTGAGAGATAATAAATATATATTTAGTCTTTTGAAGCCTCTGGGTTTGGGGATAAATTGTTTCCATAACAATAGGTAACTGATCAGCAACATGGTGTTATGTTACCAACTAGTCTGTTAACAAAATTTTCCAGCAATACAGATCTATTGCAATCCCAAACTGTCAACAGAGCAGATGTCTACAATGAATCTGTATAGGAATAGGTCCATTGACAGTCAGACAAGGATGATGGAGGGATTTGAGGGGAGGGGGCATCACTAACTACTGAACTACTTTCTGCAAATAGATTTGCAGAAAATGAGATTTGCTGTAAATGAGTGTGTAAATGAGTATGCATCAGATTCTTGGAACCAGTGTGGGTTTCCTGATAGGATGAAGGCAAAGGACTGGGCAGAGATGGCAGGAGTAGCTAAAGGGCATTGACAATCTTGCCAGACAACAGAAAAACAGTTCTCTCAACCAGGACACCTACCTTCCCATCTGGAAAAGTCCACCATTGTAAACATGAAGTCCTTCAATTGTACAAATATATTTGATTCCCTCCTGCTCGGTTCTGTCCCAACTCAATGAACAAAGGTGCACTCCAGTATCCAGGATGGAAGCTAAGTCTTGTGAAAGCCTAGCTGATCCCTAGCCCTGATAAAAGTGGGTTATGTGTGTGGAGAGAACACACCCAGCAGTAAAGCATGTGTTTGGCAGGACCCAAATGTATTTGATAAAGATCACTCCCTTCATTGTGAAACTATCAGCTCTTTGAACAACCAACTTGGCCAACATTTGCTTTCAATGTGTACTTTTCGTGGGTGTGAGCAGAACAGTAAAAAAAAAGAGAGAGATGACAGTATTTGCTTCCAACAGTGCAAGAAATCAGTCCCTATGAAGCACTGACTGGTCAGCTGGATAGGAGAGGGTAAATAAGCTCTAACGACTGAGTAGAGTCAGAGTGGCAAGCTGGATCCAACATATGACATTGTATTTCATCCTTTGGGAAGCATAAAAGGAAAATTCCCATCACACTAATAAATCATAAGGTCTTCCATTGAGAGGAGTACATTGATTGGTACCTGTTCTTGTAGGAAAAGGCCAGTCAGCCTTATATGAGGGGAAAGTCCAGGAATGGAAGAGTATTATTACAGG